TCAAAATTCTGGAATAAACTTTAGTCAAGGGCCTGTAATACTATCTCCCTACTAACCTGCCATACATTTATTTTATTCACACTGTTATTATTGAATATTTCAGTTATAACGTGACTTATTTTCACTACTTCTTTAAACAAATGTAAATATTATTTATGTTGTGATTGATATGGAATTGTATGTTTTATATTGTAAGCTACCTTGAGATATCAAAAAATGTCTAAGCAATACATTGAATGTGTGTGTGTGTGTGTGTGTGTGTGTGTGTATTACATTTACTTAGCTTTCAATACAGCTCTGTTCTTTAGATTAAGAACAACTGAGCAGGAAGAATCTAGTTGTGTAAAACAAAAATAGAATTATAATAATCTACAATAGAGATTTCAATTTATCTGGGCTAAGGAAGCAATACACTTCTGAAAGTACCTCTTAAAAGACAATTTGTTAAGTTATGTATCTATAGTTTGGGGTTGAGCTGCAACACTAACTGGCATAAGAGGTATAATTACACACATTTTTAACCATCTACTAAGGGTGCTATGTTTGGTATAGTAATTAAGGCGTCATGCTAAAAACTGGGAGACTGTTGAATTCTAGTCCTGCCTTAGGCACAAAGCCTTGGACCATGATGAACTGAGTGAAGTGGCAAACCATGACATGGATACATCACAATGTACAATAAATAGACCTCCAACTTCACAATGCGTTGCAAATTAAGATGGTTTTGTGATGCAAGTAGGGTTGAATATTATCCATTGTTTATGGATATAGGATAGTTATCTTCTTCATATTATAAATATCTCTGTATCAGAGATCCCAAATAATTCTGGTTGCTCTATTGATAAGTATAAAAAGAATTCTAAGACCCAACCATTCTTTCTTTGTTTAAATATTAGAAATTATCTTTAATTTTAATGGGGCATTAGCTGTTGATTTTATTTTATTTCCTGTCTTGAATTATCAAAGAATAGTTTTGTTTTTATTCTCCCTCTCAAGGGGGGGAAAAAGCATTTTATATCTAGATATGAAAAAGCATATGGATCATTCTAAATGTAGTCTGTGTTAACGTCACAGTTACTATGGTATTCCTTCCATTAAATGTTCGGCATATTATTTTTTCTTTAAAGGAATTCAAAACCCTGCAAAATCTACGTGTGTTGTCATGTGTAATTTTCATTTCCCTATATAACTTTTTCTAATAAATGTGTTTTATCTCTACAAAATCCACATCTGTTGTCATGTATAAGTCTCATTTCCCTGTATAACTTTGTCTAATAAATGTGTTTTAATGCATCATTTAATATATGGTGTTTATATGAATCTTTGAACAGAGAGCCATAAAAGCTAGCACATGCTCTTTATTGCTTTTCAATCATGTTTTGATTGTTTATACCATGTAAATGCCAAAGTTGCCATTGCTTTTATATCCTAAGTAATTATGTGTGTATGTGTATGTATATAGATATTGTTATATGCATCTAATTTAACATACAGATCTCTTTCTCTCTCTCTCTCTGGAATTGTTATGTTAACTAATTCACATGTATGATTTTTCAACTTACAAATCTAAATGAAGCATGTGTTAAAACTAATGACATGTAATCATGTTGCTCTGAATATTTAAAACGCCCCCCTGATGTCAACATCAATGTGGTCAAGTCAGCCTGCCAAGGCTGTTTTTCACTCATGCAGAAGAATTAGATGACAACTGGGACTCCACATAAAACATCAGCAGTAAAAAAGGAAAAGACATTGCCTCTTTTTTTTTCTGCTAGCCAAGCGTGAGCATTAAGGGAAGAAAATGCTCTCTGACCGGATAAAACATTTCCCTGCTTATTTTGCAACAAATGCATGTTCTTATCTCTCCTTATGTATTTTGGCCAATTATTTAAATTCGTATGAAAAACTAATTCAAAAACGAAGCCTGGTGCAATGATAAGTAATTTAAGCAAGTTTTTTTGCACGTTGTTACAATAGATTTAATTACATGTGATCCAATGTACTGTACCAAATCCCATTCTTGAAATAAACTGAGCATTTTCTGCTTGCCTCTGGTACACAAAGCACAGACTTAAAATAACAGATACCTGCTATAGGCAACTTATGCTCTAAAACAGGAACAGCTGCATATGTCAAAACTATATAGACTATATCTAGCTGGACTTTCTTGAACAACAGATTTTTTTCTAACGCCAAAGAAATCTAAAACTTTTATTACACATTCTCTCTCTTTCAGCAAATGTTCATGGCCATCAAAAGATTTTTGACTTTATATCTCCAAGGTAAGATTTCCCATTCTGTATTTCTCCAAACTATATGCTCATTGAAACTGAAGTGGGATGAAACATTAGTAAGGAATTTATTACCAACTGTGGATATTTTTATCAGTCTTTACTACCAGTAGTTATATCCTATGATTCTTTAGTTTCCAGAATGTTAGGTATTGAGACAATCTAGATTATTTTACATCTGCAAGGTTGTTACAGCATGGGTTTTCAGATCATATCTTTGGACTTGGACATAATCTTACTCATCCATTATTCTACATATAGTGAATTCAATAATGTAGTTGTTAGTGAAGCATCAAGGGCTGCTCTGTATGAATTCTGACCTGTTCTGTCACACTATCGGTCATTTTGATAGCTTACCAAAGACTCCACAAATCTCTTATAGAACTGCAGCCTTCCTTTCAACCTTGAGAATGCCCAGATAGGTGGTCACAATAAGCTAAGGAGACATCTTCTCCTACTTCCAAGATTGCAAAGAAATCTTCCTGAATTCATTCTAGATTGCCAAGTTAGCCAGCATAGTGGTAAAACAACAACAGTTCTTTACTCCTTTAGAAGGGGGGGGGAATTAAAAGGTTTCCTTACCCACAATGCAACTGCAAGGATAAAGTCACAAGAAAAAGTTTTCTATCTTGTTTAATCAACTGAACGGCCTGATTGCCAAACCACCAAGTCCCGCCATTGACAATAATTTGCTTAGATACCAATGCCAGCCAAAATCATAAACCGCAACTGTTAAAAGTAATAAATAAACAAGTGGCTTAATTAAAGAGGGGTAATCTACCTTTTTGTAGAAATGTAAGAACAAAAGGAAGAACAATGGCAGTTAAGATAGCCTTTAACATTTTAAAACAGTAAGGAGATATGTTAACACATTCAACTGAACTTTCAGTATTTTGTATAGACACACATTATACACATAGCCTTTCATCAGGACTAGATGACCTCCAAGGTACCTTCCAACTTTATTATTATTATTATTACACTCACTTTGTCAGTTCATTGTTCAGCTGATGGACAGGCTGCCTTCTATTTCAGCGGGGAAGCTTCCCTCCCCAACACAACAATATGCAGTCAGGCAGCTTACCATGAAGTTGGGATGACTGCACCGCTATTTGCAACAGGACACAGGGCAATCATAAAGGGCCACACATAATCCATCCATCAAATATTAGAAAGACTCAGTGTCAGTGGCAAGCAACCAGATCCAGACGTGTAGAGTACAAGCTAACTATTTTATTGTATTCTGCTTATAATACAAGAATCTCCTCTGACTATTTGCCTCCTCTTAGAAACAGATAGATAAGGTTCTATAGAGCTTAGCAGTCCTGGGTCTCTTGTGGCTGTGCAACAATTCCAGGCTACTTCCCTGCTTGAGTCATCCTTCTTGCCTAGCTGGCCATTTCCCAACACACAAGATACCAAGATTTATTTTAAGAATGGAGAAATATTCACAGGGGATTCTCCCTTCTCTAAATATCAAGCAGAGGGCTGGATATCAAAATACCCTCTAGCTATGCTTCTTGTCTTGATAATATTAATGTATTTCTGTAGCGGTGCTGTGTAACCCTCTGGAAGGATAACATAAGAACGGTTATGAAAAGCTTTGAAGCCACCTTTGGAAGCTCCTTCACAAAGCAAAAAGGAACTGTTGCATTGCTTCTGAAGGTACCCCTTTCATCTGCTTAATGTAAGGGACAGAGGAAACTGTCAGGGAGAAACAAAGCATCCTCAGTAAGAAGAACATCACCTTGGGGTCCCAGCAGGGTGAGTGACACTGCCTCAATCCAGCCTCAAGCAACAGCATCGCTTCTGTGCCTTGCTGAATCCAACATCGCCTCCCCAATGTGAAGTGCCCCACTGAGACCAACAAAGGCCACTTCGTACCAAGTTAATTATTACACATCATTTGAAGCTGAAACAGCAGGCAGTCCGATCAAAAAGCAGCGTTTAGCCCTTTGATACATTTGAGAAGTGGAACGGTATTGCCCTAATTCTCCCTTCCAAAGAGCACACATTGGAAATTTAAGATTTTAAAAAAAGAAAATTTGATTTTTTTTTTTAAAAAAATGATCATTTGACTCTTAAGATATATGATGTTACCTACGCTATGAATCTAGCGAACGTTAATACCGAAAGAGCCATGCAGGAACTCAAAAGTAAGGTCAGAGATTCTGTGGATGGCCTAAACAAGCCAAGATGCAAACCCTGGAGGAGAGAAATAAATGGCCACAATGTCAATCACATCACATCACATCACAATCTGGAACATTTGTACGCGTAAAACCAATTTGAACTGTTCCCAAGTCAACATGCCTGATATTCCTGTAATGATTTAGGCCAGAGGTCCCCAACATTTTGGGCATCAAGAACTGGTTCCATGGAGGTTTTTCCGCAGACCAGAGGGTTGTGTGGTTTTGTATGCTGCCTGCATCCTGCAGATGGGGCTTTGCTTGTTTGTGCGGACAGTTGCTGGCATGCCACGGCCCGGTACCGGTCCACGGACCGGGGGTTGGGGACCCCTGATGTAGGCCATTCCTTCGTAAGTGACTTATATTATTATCTGATCATTGCTGCAGCTATCAAACGAGAATGAAAGTGGATTTCATACTGCTGCAGTGGTGACTGGGCAATGGCTGTGGGGACATCTACAAGTTGGAGTCACCTGAGGAGAAAGTCAATAACCCGAATACAATTGCCTGATTTACTTACAGTGATGTATGTTGCTGCATATATACTCAGAGCTGCTTCTTTGGAAGGAAAAGTTTTTCGGGCTTTCATGATAAGATCAGGATTTCCAGAGCAAGCCTCTGCACCACTGATGAATTCTGTAAACTGCTGACATCCCAGAGCTGTGTAATTGGGGTTGCAAAGTGCAAGGAAGTGAGGTGCAAGATTCCCAGTTACTACTTGTCCAGCATTTACAAATATGTCTGTTGCAAAAAGTCCAAATGCATAAATGCCTAAAGAAAGGGAAGGAAAAGAAATAATTGATTGGCTATTACAGTGGTGCAATAAAATGAATAATCTGATCAATAATATTAATAAATAAAATATTTTGCATATAAGCTTGGTGAAAGGAATCACTGCTAAGAGAAAATGAAAACAATATAGAACCTTGTCCTGCCTTTGAACATAACAGTGCAGACATGCTAATTTATAATCTTGATTTAATTTTAGGTGTGTTATGTTTGTAACAGATAGAATCATTGCTCCTCTCTCTTGGAGTGCCAGTGAATATTGGGGTGTGTGTGTTTCTTTACTAGTAAATCCTATGAAATGTCTGTGCCCTACTCCTCCTGGGTCATAAAGGACTTTATAGATGGTAACTACTTCTCTGAACTACATCTAGAATCTTATTGGTAGTGAATTCAACTCATGATAATGAAATGTTCTGTTGCCATACTGTGGTATGCATACTCATAATTAATTCCCTTAGCAGCTGCATTCTGGATCAATTGCTGCTTCCAAGTGGTCTTCATTGCTACAGTCCATGTGAGGTCACCAAGTGTGTGTGATTGTCCCGATCCAGATATGGGTGCAACTGGTGTGCTGGATGAATTTGTAAGTTTTATTGCTACATATCTTCTAAGCAGGAGCCGTGAGTTCAAAGACATCCACAAATTGTGCACCAGTCCTAAAAGAGGGAAGTGTAATCTCAACCCATGGAGCTTTTTATTCCTCTTCCCAGGTTCGTACGATCCAAGTTCCTGTAACTACTCAAACTTGCACCTGTACTTCCTTATCCACCCTTGCACAACTTCTAAATACTGGGACAAGTCCTTGACGGAAGGATCTGGTTGGACTGAGATCGAGATGTCATCAATGCATTGGTGAGAGGTGACTCCAAACTGCTTAATACCTCACCTAGCAGCCTTATGCAAATGTTAAATGGGGTGGGGGTGAGAGCATCGAACCCTAAGACACCCCTTATATGAGAGATCTCTCGCTTGATTCTTTTTCCTTGCCAACATTGTCTGGATCCAACTATAAAGAAAGAAGGGGAACCATAGTACTGTGACTCCCACTCATAATTCCCACAAATGGTCCAGAAGGATAATATTAGAAACCACTTAGAGATTAAGGTGAACCAGGATGATTGCACTATACCAGGGGTAGGCAACCTCGGCTCTTTTATGACTATACCATTCTGGTTTCCATCAGGAGTCAATAGCAAATATAGCCAAAGCCTTCTCAATTCTATGTCCTGATTTGAAATCTGACTGGAAAGAGTCTAGATCACGGGTGTCAAACTCGATCATGTCACACGATGTATCATGATATATCTCGAAGTTTTTTGCCTTTGTGGAGCTGGGATGGGCGTGGCCTGCACATGACGCATCCGGCCCATGGGCCACCAGTTTCACACCTCTGCTATAGATGGTTTGTCATCTCCAGAGCCCTCTGTTGCTGCAGCCTGGCCACCTTCTCAACAATGTTCCCCCCCAAAAAGAGAAAGGTAAGAGACTGGATGAAAATGGCCAGGCCTGTCAAATCTAGCAGTCTCTAATTTTAATAAGGTAGAGAATCTACGGACTAATTGCAAACCTTATCTGTCCCCTTTCCTGCATGTACCCTGGCACCAGTAAACAAAATATCAGTCATTTCTGACATATTTAGCCAGTATGCCACAAATGCAATCCAAACCCACTTTTACTTCAACCATGGTCATGCCATTCTATGCAAGCTAGGATCTCTACTCTACGGACCACCTTGCTAATCCACACGTTGTTGCTTGCATCTCAGCAATACAGAAGTACAGTAGATGCAATGAACTGATACAAACTGAGAATGTTGGTTTTTCAATGGCATCATTTGGGGCTACAATCTTATAAACTCAAGAGCAGAGTTTATTATTAAAGGAGTGATGAGAGTTAAGATTATAGTTTTATATGGGAACCTCAAGAACCCAGAGACAATTCAATTGATCAGGAGGTTTCCATAACTGGATTACACATCCTAATGCGTGAAGATTAGAAAACAACACCCTATATTCTTACCAAGGAACCTGACAGTCCTGCGCACCAGTGGGTTTATATAGCAACAGTCTCCAGTTAATATTGTTTTTTCTTGGTTTTCAAAATCCCGTGTGGCCATCTGTAAGCAAAACACTGCAGTTTCTCCAACAATAATCTGGAAACAATAAAAAGAAGAGGAAGCATTAGATTCCATACATACAAAGCAACACTACACTAAAGATACATTTAAATCCATTCAGACAAGCTCTAGTAATGAGATACTGGATTATAAATTATTTTCTGGGCCTTCTTTCTCAAATGGAGTTTTATGGAATCCTAGTATTCATGATAGATTCTGACTGCAAAAAAAGTTTGAACTTTGCACATTGCATAATGCCAGTACTGGAAGCGATGGAAATTTTTACATATCATCACTCACCTGATAGCTTACTGCTTTGCTCTTGTAAATATTGTAACAAGGATTTTGTAGATTAGAAATGAATTGCATAGATAATCCTTACTTAGTGGCTGCAATGTTCAATGAGCATTTAAAATTATGACTGTGCTTTAAAAAAAAAGTAACTTTACAACCACTGGCTACATTTACAACCTTTGCCACATCCCTCACTCACACAATTGCCTTTATGGTCAATATGGGTTCTCCTATGCCTGACTTGTTATTTTTCTTTTTTGTGCCCCTTGCAGAGTGGAGAAATTGGAGAGAAAGGGATTATAAGAAAGTAAGCAGGCGCACAACGGGGAATACACATTGGAAGGAATACGGTGGCATCAGCAGCCCCCCTCTATATTGATAGAGCCAAGTGCACTATGCAAACAGCCTGATGTATTCCCCATTGTGTGCTTGTTTACTGTCATGTAATCCTATCCCCTCCAATTAATGTCAACACAAAGATTAATTCTCTTCTTGCTAATTATCTCAGCACAGGGATAGCCATTCCAAAGGGCATGAGAGTGGGGGAAAGGAAAGCACAGTCACAGTCATGTGATTCCCCACTTAGCAATGGTTTCAATTAGTGACTGAGTTGATCTTAGTTATGACTGCTAAATGAGGACTGTTCATAATTTTTCATCCCCCCCCCCCAGTTGATCAGTGATCCTCAGAAGATGAAGAGGACCAAAAGAAGAAAATTGGGAGTAAAACTATGCAATGGTTCAATTCCACTGAGGAGTTTTAGAACATGGTGGTGCAGATTAGCAGCTGCACTTTTTCCTTGGATCACTCAGCTGTTGCAGGAAGGCTTCTGCTGCAGCTAACTGATTGTAGAAAAAGATACAGCTGCTTCAGTAAGTCACTGCCGGATCTGTTTTCATGCTGGTGTATATTCTGGAGCAGGGGTATCAAACTGCCAGCCTGCGGGCCAGATGCGTTATGCTGAGACCAGCAATGGAAAAAAAGTCACGATACATCACAACATGTCACGTGACGTTGCAAGTTTGACGCCCCTGTTCTGGAGCATCTCTTTTGAGTCAAATGTGAAGCACTGCAACAACCCAATGGGTTTATCTAGAGTGCAGAGAAGGCATCAGACCCCACCACCCACAACTTTAACCACTGTGGCTAAAGCCACGGTCTCATTGTCCAGTCCACCTTGGATAACAGCCCACCTTGCACTTTCCTTATGCAACAACCCACCTTGAACTTTCCTTTGAACTCTTTAGTAGCCTGCTCTTGATTATCTAGTCTGGCTGTGAAACATCCTTGAATCCTTGCCCCTGCCTTCTCCCATTGAACGTCCCCTTGAACTCAAACTATATTTACACTTATGCCCATGTCTGCTGGGTTTAGGAGTCTCAAACTGTTAAATAACCAACTCCAGCTGGGATGGTGGAAAAGGTTCAGTTAAGTACTGCTGATATTTCTTGCTTTCAGTAAGGAGGAGCAACACCAAGAAAGCAAATATAGCCTACATATGTTCTGGGGGGGGGGATCAAGAATTTTATATAAGGGCATATAAAGAAAGCAAAGGTATCCTGCATAAGCTATAGGGGAAAAAAATCAAGAATTTTATAAGAGGGCAATGCCTTTATTACATTAGAACTCCAAAGTACTTCAGGAGGGAAGACGGTAAACAAAACTAGTAAAACAAAATAGTAAATACATGGGCAAGAGAGGAAAAAAGCAACCACCACCGAAGCCATCAAGTCTTCATTTAATTATGCTCTTAAAAATTAATGTGGAAAAATATCATTAGGTTCCATTTGTTGGTGAGATCGTTTTTGAATGTCGCCCAGCATCTATCCCTGTTTTAAAGTGAAGAGGATGAGAAAAGAACTATGTGGGAATAGAGAAAAGGATGTGGATTGAACTGTTCTTGGCTAATGGCACTTCACAAATGTCATGACAGACTGGAGATGTCGGCGCAGAGTACAATTAATGAGAGCATCATTCACCATGGATGTGTTACAGAAGATGATATCAAGGTTGACTCAGCCTTCCATCTTTCCAAGGTCAGTAAAATGAGGACCTAGATTGGGGGGGGGCAATAGGCTGACTCTGTAAACCGCTTAGAGAGGGCTGTAAAGCACTGTGAAGTGGTATATAAGTCTTACTGCTATTGCTATCATTGGCAAAAACCTATGTTGGGGTCCATCATAACCATTGTACCATTATCACTGAGAGAAGTAATTGGAGCTGGTATTGTAACTAGTGCTAGAAAACTACTGGAATAAAAAAAGAAAAGAATAACATTCCCCTATTTTTGAAACCATATAACTGATCTGTTTCATAGAACTTTATTCATCACGTGCCAATGTAATTATGTTTTAGACCAGTGGTTCTTAACCTTTTTGAATGAATCGCCCCCTTGAGCCAATGAGGAAGTTGTCATCGCCCCCCTCTCAATTACAACATAAGAAATAATTCTTCAATTGATGCAAAAACTTTTTTTGTTATATGGACATATAATATGACACATAATTTATTTCCAGTCTTTTTCCCATATCTCAACTGTGTGAAAAATTTTGGCGCCACCCGTCACTTTATTCCCAAACTTCGTGATACATGTATTTCATTATTATCTTATTTATTCAAGACACTTAAATGTAATGACCACTGAAAACAAAATTCAATTGCAAGAAAGTGAAATGCCCGAAAAGAAAAACAGTAACATTTAATGATTGAATTACAAGTGAAATTTAAGACGCAAAAAGAAATATAAAAAGGGCATAAGAACAAACCGCAATGCGCATGAAGATAAGTGATGCGTATTCACATATGTACGGCGTTCCGTACTGAAGCTAGCTAGAGGAACATTTGAAAACACAATTCAATCCACTAATATTGAGCGATCTGATGTTTTTGTACGACAGATATACAGCGATTCACTGTACGAAAAAGTCTCAAAAGTGTCCCCAAAACGTCTCACTCCATTGCCCCCATATCGCCCCCTTTTTGTTCCTTTGCCCCCGCATCGCCCCTTTTCATTCCATCGCCCGGCTGAAAAATGAAATCGCCCCCTGGGGGGCAATATCACCCAGGTTAAGAACGACTGTTTTAGACCATCAGACATTTGTAGAGAAATTTGAGAACTGTAAGTTAGATGTAGTTTAAGATTTTTTATAGCATGTTAGTATAATGGGCATAATGCAACATTGAGCATGATGAAAATAGAAGAATGTGGCAATAAAACTTAATAGAGTAATACAGGCAAATGAATAAAAGCAATAAAATATGCACCACACTGTATTTACAAATGAAAGCCTTTTTTAAAAAAAAAAAACCTAGCAGCTTAAAGAGATTTATAAAGAAAATTATTCTAAGGATACAGACAATGGCAGTAAAGTATTTTTCAACCAGATGCCCTCTGGATAGATTGGCAGTAGTGATGGAAGTATACAAGTTATAATCCAACAGATTCAGAAGGAATCTGTTTCAGGAACGTTGGGTTTCTGGGCTGCATGTAGGCCACTGAGCAGTTTTATGTGGCCCGCTGATTTTTTTTTTTTTTTTTTTTTAAAGTAATAAATTCACAACCACTCCAAAAGACAGGCTACCTGATGCCCCCAAGCTTCATATCTATCACCAGGCTCCAGTGCTGCCTTTTCTCCACTAGTCAAAGAGCAGCTGATCACCATATTGCTTTTTCAGCCTGTGACGATTTTTAATTTATCAATATGACCCCTTTGCCTCTGTGCAGGCTTAGCCTATTTATAGAGGCCTTTATATTGCTTTTATATTCAAAGCATAGATACAACACGGGGTTCTCAAAAATCTAAACAGTTTTTAAATCTGTATTTTTCCTTCACTTTTCAGGTTTGAAAAGATTGGTTGATTTGTTTTTTAAAAAATTCTGAATTAGATTCGGGTCATTTCTGCCTGTGCATGCATGCATGCATGCCTCCTTTGCTTCGCTAGCTGTTCCAACAGAAGCCTTCCCTGTGTTTACACATAATGTGCAGAGAACTGTAGCAAACTTTTGAAGCAGCTGTGCCAAGCCTTCCAGACAACACAGCTGCCTTGACATTCAGAGGAAAAGCCATTTATTCAAGCCTGCCTGTTTTGAAAAAGACTAATAGATCATCACATATGTAAAACATCTTTACATTTATTGCAAGGTGCTATAAGCTGCCCAGAAAGGACTTTGAACCTTGAGGCAATTATATACTTCTAAGTAAGCCAAGCTATTTAAAACTAATACATGTATATATACACACAAATAAAAATAAAGAAATGGGGTGATATATGTTTCATTGACAGCATAATTTTTTTAAATATTCTAATTCAGAATCCCAGTTATAGCCAGAAAAAAATATATAGAAATAAATCCTCAGAATTCCTGACTAGTACAGACTGTCTAACCCCAATAATTTGAAAGAATTATATCCAAAACTCTTTTATGAGAATAGGACTCAAACAAGGTATATAACTGGAATTTGATCTAGAAGGAAAAATAAACAGAATGATTTGACAGTAACAAGTTGTTTGCAAGTCCTGGGTTTTCATCAAGAACAACTGATGTGTTATTTATTAAGTGATATTTTGACTGAACCTTTCGCTTTACTATAGAGGTAAACGTTTCTTCCATCAATACCACTCTGATAAACAACACCTTCAATTGTTGTTGTTGTTAATTGTGAAGCCATGTCCGACCCATCGCGACCCCATGGACAACATTCCTCCAGCTCTTCCTGTCCTCTACCATCTTCTGGAGTCCA